ATGCAATGGTTTATCAGCACGACACCCTTGCAGCACTCTTCAAATTTTCTTACTGGTACTGCCTTTGTCATCATATTAGACCAATTCAGGTCGATATGCACCTTTTCTAGTTGAATATGTTTTTTCTTTATCATATCTTGGATCTAGTGGTAATGAATATCAGTGTGTTTTTAGCGAGATTGATAGGTAGATTCTTATTTTGAGCGAGATCTAGAGGTAACCTTGTCTATCAAGGAGTAAATTCTCCATCCATATCATCTCCTAGCTTGCTTCAGGTGCGGTGATATATTGGGCCTCGATCATTGATAGTGTAACACAATTTGGAGTTTTGATTGCCATGACACGGCTCCCCTTGCAAAGGTAATCAAATATCATGTTGTTAATTTTCTAGAATCAATACCTACCCTAGATCACCATATGTATCGTCTTCCAACTTGCCTTTTCCTTCTCCAAAATAGAGAAGTAAATTTGTTGTACCTTGCAACGCCCCAATTTAATAATCGGTCTGTTAACTAACATATAGTCTTAACAGTGCAGCATACCTGATTAAATTCGCGGAAGACTTACTTTTTCCTTTATGTTTACACAATGTAATTGTCATTCATAATTTGTTTTCTATCAAAGTTCTTATATCTGTACAGTCTCATACCTATATGACATACTCTACAAATCCCGTGATCATAATTAATGATCATACCTTTACCCAATACGATATCACGTACCGTTCTGGATAAAGTTTCTTGGACAGCATAACGGCTGTAAACTAGGCAACTAAGGATTAAATCACACTATAATATCTTGTACTTGATAATAGATAAATTCAATCCACATAATGACCTATTTATAAAAATACCATACAATGGCTCTGCGCCATCACTGATAATATCGCACAACATAATATACATCATGTACATAATCTTGATACCATAATTCACAACATATAACTTCTGTCGTCCATCTCAAAATACATATTCGTCTATATAGTAGTGCACGGTACTATATCATGCACACAAAATGCAGACATCCCAACATATAAATTCTTCCTTGATCCTGTATGCTCTAACCATGTGCGGGTCCGTTTCCCTGTGATGGTTCTCCTGCTACTGCTTTATGTGAAATATATATCCCCAAATGGGGTGAGAGACAACATCTCAGTAAACTTAGGGTTTATGGAGTAGTCTCCACCCATAAGTTCACTTCCTGCATGAAAGGTCAGATAACAAAATATAGAATACATCATTGGCTTCCAATATGAATAGTTATCTGCTATAAGTTTGAACATGTCTCCATCATGAGAAACCCTTCCGTCCAACTTTACCACTTCATAAAACCCTTAATCTCGGGCTTTGATACTATTGTTGGGATGTGGTCCCTCTTTCACTACAAAGCAAATAGTTCTTCAAGTCGAGCACACCAGTTCGACACTTGGAGGTCGACCTATTGATAAGTCGGCTCAAATACGCAATAACACAAAAATACAAAGATGTAGAAATGGAGATGAAGGGAAAGAAAAAACACACAACAATTTTAACATGGAAAATCTCCTCAAATACAGAGGAGTAAAAACCATGTGACCTAGTATAACAAAAACTTCAATTATATGAATAGTAAGATCACAAGAGTTCTTCCCTTGTGACTCACTAGGGAGTGTTTGGGATGGAGAATGTGATAGAAATCTTGGGAAAGTGGGGTGTGGAATATTTGTTTACTCTGTTTGGTATGGAGAATGTGATAAAAATGCTGGTGTAATATTATTCCCATTAATATGTTTTTCAATGTTACATTGGCAAAAAATATCTCATTTGAACCGTGGTATTTTTTTTTACCCATCAACCGTGAAAAGCGTTTTAATTTTTTTAGACAAAATTGCCTTGAGATAAGACATGCAGATGTCTTAAAATATATGATAGAAAAGATATCCACAAACGAACGTTTCCTGATAGAAAAGATATTCAAGATTCAAAATGAAAGGGTAATTTAGTCATTTTGCTTCGAAATCCCACCAATATTTTACTACCAGCTAAACACAATATCATTAAATTTAACCCAACTTTTTCGGTAAAATTTTGGCATACCAAACACTTTTTCATAACTTACCTAGGCAAAAATGTTCACCACCATATTCCTATAAATCTTTTTTTCCTGATAAAAAAAATATCTCCTATACGAAACACCCCCAGGATTATTACGAATACTTCACCCATATAAGGATGGAATACAACGTTCTTTTATGAAGAGGTTACACACTTAAACTTCTATTATAGAGAGATTCTCTGACCAACTAAACTTTCTCTTTCTAATTTCATCCCATTTTATAGGTGGGGTAGGCCTTTCATATTCTTTCAGAAACTTCGTCATTTAATGAAGTAGTTGCATTTATTGAAGTGATTGATCAGCTTTTGAGTCATGCGCTATTAATGTCTTGCATGGTCAGTCTCCATATTAATAAAGGAGGAACCCACCTCAACATTATATACAACTTACCGTTGATTTGGCAAATGAAATGGTAATCTAATCACAGTAAGCTTCTTAAAGTGAACATCAAATCCAAAAATTTCTATGATGAATGCAAAGAAATATATATGCAAATTATAATAATTTTGAATTTCATCAATAATATGATTTAAAGGATTTGAAGCATGCTTATGAAATAAAGTAGTTATCACGTTATCATTTCCTTTATGCACATAATTAAACAGATATTTGATTCAACTTGTTTGGTATGTGTACTTTTACCTTGATAGGATTTCAGGAAAAGTTTTGCATTATAAGTGACCAAGAATGTGTTATCTAAATAGATTTTTTTTATAATTCTAATACAATAAAAATACAAAAAAATGTATCTTAAAAAAAATAATATGTTTCATGGAACCACAAAGGAAAAAAAATAATATGTTTCATTTTCGTTTTTAAAAATAGTTTTTTAATGTTTAGAATTAAAAAAAAACTTGTTTGAAATGTATTGCTTTGCAAAATGATTTTCAACACAATAACTGTTTTTTAATTTTTAAAAATTAAAAGAAGAACAAGTTAGAGATGTTTCAAAAATGGTTTAATGTTTCTGTTTGTAATGCAAAAAAAATTTCTATGCCACACTCGCTTAAAAATGAATGATAATGCGACCCACTCACTTCGAGTGTGGCAAAGAAATTTTTATGCATAAAAGTAGAAATATTTTTCCCTTGAAAAATTATTTTTTAGTTTTATTGTTTTTGTAATTACAATTTTATAATTATGATAATTCATTAATGGTACTTTGGTAAATGAATCCAACTTTTTTTCATATTTAAATTAATTTATGGTGATAATCTTGTAATTATAAAAGTTTATTAATCACATTCTTGTAAATAAATATAATTTCTTTATAATTTTAAATAAAATACTTTTTTTCTACCTACCACTCTCTAATAGTGTTAGATCAGAATCTCAAGAAAAGAGAGAAAGATAAATGTTAGTTGAGATTTTGATCTAATAGTATTTCAGAGTGGTAGGTAAATGTAGACAGAAAAAATAAATAGGTAGAATAACCTATCCCTTTAAACATACACTAAAGAAAAAAAAATTCTCTCTTTTTGCATTTTTTTTTCTCTCACTCCCCGTCGCAAAACATACAAATATATTTCATTGGAGGATTTAAAATTTAGAGTATAAAATCGATACATTAGAACTTAGAAGCTCACCCTTGTCTGTCTTACTCAAAGGGAAATGATATTGTAACAATTAATCAGTGTTACTATCAATTAATTTCATCGTTAGATCGATTATGTTGATTAACAGTTATTTTATTTTCATCTGTGTAGGGTTATGATTTCTATATTTAATACTTTATATTTATTTTTATCTTTGTATGGTTATGATTTCTCATATTTAATGTTTTCACATTAAATATGGAAAATCATGACCATACAAAGATGGAAATAAATATAATCAATTAGATGATCAACATAATTGATATAACGGAGAAATTGATTGGTAGTAAAATTAGTAGTAACATTGATAGTAATACTAATTAATTGTTACAATATTTGTACCATTAATTCATTAGTAATTTCATTTTAATTTTAAATTTCAATTCAAAGTGATTCGAATGAGAAATTACATTCAGCACTGTTATTATTATGCTTTTAAAAAAAAACTAGACTAAAAAGGAGAAAGGAGTGAGATTCTCTCTCTTTCACAGTCGCTCACCACCTATGTAGCACCGATACGACACGCGACACGTGACACGACACGACACGACACTCTGACACGTCAATCTTAAAAAATTATGGATTTCGACACGTTGGGACACGTTTTAATATTAAATAATATTTTTAATCTATATAGTGTATATTTCATTTAATATTTAATAATTTAACATGAAACTAAATTAACATCAACACGTTATGTGGAAGCTTTAATAAAAAAAATTTGGGATCTATAATATCAGATCTCTCTCTCTCTAACAAGAGCGTATGAGAATTGACAACAATTGCTGAGATGATCTCTATCTACCGTTTAAAATTGATCGATCAGGTGGAACTTTATTAATATATTTTAACTTTTAAGAAAAAATAAATTTTTTTAAAAAAAATTAAAAAAAAAATTAAAAATGCCATATTAAATAAATTAATAATCGGAAAAAGTCAACCGCGTGTCCGACACCGTGTCGGAGCGTGTCGGAGCGTGTCGCCGTATGTCGGAATTTAGCCCGACTTTTTTTATTCACGTGCTTCCTTGCTCACCACTGTCACCAGATATTCGTTCCCCTGTTTCGATATCGTTCTGAAATAAATATTTATTTATGGGAATAACATATGTCATTTTAAAGAGGATATAATCTTATATTATTTTAGATCCTAACCGTTTATTTTCGTCCATCAACGGTTATTACTTTTTGGATTTAAGTTTGGCCCAATAAATCATAAATAGATATATGTTTTTTCCTTTATTTATTTATTTCTCTCTCCCTCTCTCCATAGAATTAAAACCCTAATTTTGCACGCTCTCAACTTTCTCCCTTGAAATTGAAAGCTCCTTCCCCGTTCTCTCTCTCTCTCTCTCTCTCTCTCTCTCTCATGGCAACGGCGCGTGATGAGAACCCTTACGAAGGTGGAGGAGGGTTCGGCAAGTTCCGAAAACTACCGTTTCGGAGAACGCAAACGACGCCGTACGATCGGCCGCTGACAGCGCTGAGAAACCCTAGCAGGAACAGTGGTTGGTTCTCGAAGCTCGTTGATCCCGCACAGAGGCTCATCGCTTCTAGCGCCAAAAGGCTCTTCGCCTCCGTCTTCCGCAAGCGCCTTCCTCCACCACCACCACCACCACGTTCTTCAGGTATCTTTCCCCCTTTTTTTGTTTAAATTAACTTATTAATTAATTAATTTTAATTGAACGAAGCTTGTGTGATTTTTATTATTTTTTAATAACTTTTTTATGCGAATTGCTGGTTTTGTTTTTCAATATTTTTTCCTTTTAGGTTTCTGAGGAAATCTAATCTCTTTCGGTGTTATTGCTACTAAATAATGTCAAATACTTCAATTTTGAAAGCATTTAAGTTAGCAATTTTGTTGTTATTGTTATTGATTATCGTTTTACGTTTCAAAAGTAATTGATTTTTAGTTCCTATATTGTGGGATGTTATGTTTCTGAAAGCTTGAAAATTTTGTAATCTTCTGATAGTCACTACTTAATAACAAGTCTTTGATTTTCTACCCAACATAGGACCCCAATAGTTAGGGCAGTGCTAAAACATATCATGAATGAATTATTACATTGAATTTGTATGTGTTGATTCGGTTAAAAGGATAGAACTCAGCAAGACTAAAATCACTCTCCGAACCGACAAGTGAGGGTTGAGATGAGGGTAATCCTTGTACGTAGCCTTATTATCTCATATCTAATTTCTGGCTTGAGAGTAGGACATTGTTAATGAGAAATGGGGGCCAAAGGCTATGAAATTTTTCTGTGGGCTCACTGCTCTCCTAACTTTTCATAATGGTATATACTATGGGTAACTTTTTGTTGTAACTTTTCAGTGACTTTTGATTTATTTTTTCCTTTTCATTGTGTGCGACAATGTTAATGGTTGTCAAAAGCGGATGATTCACAACATCACTTGTATGATTTGATTTGAGTCAATGGGTGAACGATTCAGATCAACGATTGAATTGCTGGCTGGCCTTAATTGCACCATGAATTTAGTATTGCATAATCTAGTGCAGAAAGAAATGTACGAAGATTGCGTTGCCACTGTAATTATTTGGGTAATGCGGGTCGCGATGTCCGGTTGTGTATGACCCAATGCGACCTGAAGGTCAAGGACACATGATTTTTTTTTAAATAAAGGGTAAAGTAGAACAGTGTGTTTTGGCCTTGCTGTATACTCAAATTACAGTTGGATGGTACATTTCGTGATACCATTATCAACAGCACTATTTTTTAAGTTTGGGATTCTGAGACCCAAGAAAGCTTATTTTTTTATTCCTCTTTCTCTGAAATAAAGTCTTGACACTCCCAAAGACCATAGTATTTTTGGACTTGGTTACTTATGTGTTATTAGTTTTTTATTTATTATCTTACATCTGAATTGATGGCGACACTCAATTATGACTTTCTGACGTAAGACTTTGTTTTTTTATTCATACATTGAGCAGTGTACATAATATATTATTTATGTGATATATTTGGAGCTATTTTTTATTGTGTTTCTGAATCTTACGATTTGATATGATTTCTAATTCATGATTCAAAAGTAACTTGGCGATTCATGATTTGAATTGTGATTTGATAACCTTGGTGTGTCCTTTTATTATATTAAAGTAAATCACATGATTCAATGTTTTTCCGTTATGTATATTTATTTACCTTTTTTTTTTTTGGGCACAGAAGCAGTGCAGGAAGCGAGGGACAATCACCAGGAAGCAGCTGTCTTTGTAAGTATGCATGCTTCACATATGTTGTTTGCTGTTTTCATAGGAATAATTTTTTGGGTGTGATTTTATTTTTCCATCATGCTATGAAAAATAATTTGGGTGTTCCTTTGTTTAATGACAATGTCTTAATATTATACCAAATCTACTGCAATATATGTGTTCATGCTAAAGAAATTATATTAATTTTTATGCCTCTTATTTATTTTTTGTCTTCCAACCTATCTAGGTGTATATTGTATCTTCGATGTAGTTAAGGACACTTTAAGGGGCAACATATTCATTTTGTAGTGTCATATTGCATTCGAAGATATGTTTAGTTAGCACAATTCGTGCTTTGATACCCTCCACAAGGGTTCTTTTGGGGCATTCAACTTAAAGGGGAAACATTCATTTGTAGTGTCATATTGCATTCCAAGATAGGTTTAGTTAGCACAATTCGTTCTTTAGGACCCTCCACAAGGGTTCTTTTGGGGCATTCAACTTTAAGGGGAAACATATTCATTTGTAGTGTCATATTGTTTCAACTCCATATGTTACTTCCAGCGTACGACAATTTTATTCATACCTATCTTTGATATATAAGTTTGATTATATTTTTTGGAGTGGTCATGTATAACCATATGCTGTCCATAGGTTTCTATTGATGATGTTGCTTCACCTGCCGAGCTTGCTAAGGCTTACATGGGGAGCAGGCCTTCCAAGGTATCCCAATCAATGCTGGGCTTGCGAAATCCTCCAAGAGAGGATCCAACTCTACTAAGAAATCAGAACTTTGCTACCCCAGTTATGTCAATTGTGCCAAGGGCAAACCCTTGCCGGGTTCATGAAAATGGCTTTGTGACCCCAAGATCTCATGGAAGATCAGCAATATATAGGATGGCTCAAGCCAGAGTTTATCCAACATCTACCGTTTGCCATTTACTAAATGGTACTTTGGATAATTCTGTTTCTAGTGTTGAGATTTTTATTGGGTTTCTCTAACTTTACAGGGTGTTGGCTTTGTGACCCCAAGATCTCATGGAAGATCAGCAATATATAGGATGGCTCGAACACCTTATGCCAGAGTTTATCCAACATCTACGCTCAAGGTTTGCCATTTACTAAATGGTACTTTGGATAATTCTGTTTCTAGTGTTGAGATTTTTATTGGGTTTCTCTAACTTTACAGGGTGTTGGCGTTGCTGTTGAAGGTGAGCCATCATCTTCAGCTCAGTATGCACTGGATCATGATATGCTTTCTGGCTCTAAACAAAGGGTATACATACTTGTGATTATAAGTCCTATCCTTTCAGTGTACATTCTAGAGTTCTTTTTCAGAGATATGTTCCTGGATTTCACCTTTTTTCCCTCCCCATTTTTAGCAGGCATTAAAACGTAGAAGTTCTATATTCTATAATGATATAGGATCTTTTGGTCCTATACGCCGAATCCGTCACAAGTCTAATCTTCTATCTTCTAAAGGCTTAGCCTTACCTCATTCAGGCGCCCCCTTATCTATAGCTAGGAACAGAGTTGGCATTGATGCTGCTCGGCAACCTTCATCTTCCATGCAGAAGCCTATTCTATTGGGTGAAGTTAAGCATAGCCATACGAAATTGTCAGCAGAAAATGTTGATGACACCATGCCTAGTACTAGCTTTCCTCCTATATCTTCAAAATCTAGCGAGATGGCCTCAAAAATACTCCAGCAACTTGATAATTTGGTTTCTCCTAAAGAAAAATCATTGGAACCAAGGCTACCAATTATGAATGATAAATCTCCGACAAAGTTGTCATCATCCATGTTACGAGGACAGGCTCTTCGAAGTATGGAGACAGTGGATTCATCAAAATTCCTGGATAACATACAAGATAATGAATTAGACGGCACACTTGGAAATTTGTCAGCTAGTGCTCAAAAGTTAACATCAAAGATAGACAAGGTTGAAAATGGTCCATTGAAGCTTGCTGCTCCTACTGATACAGATGCTACAGTCCCAAGGAATCAAGTTGTGTCTATTGTAAAAGCTGGAGATTCTTCTGTGACAAATCCTGTTTCTTATCATCCACAAAAAAAGAGGGCATTCCATATGAGTGCACATGAGGTTTGATATTTTGCAACTGTTTGATGGTTTCCTGTAGTTATCTTGATTTTAAATATTAGAAATTCTTATGTGACTTTTATATATATATATATATATATATATATTAGTGGGAAGAGCTGGTACTATTAATCTTGTTGTTTATAGTGATTTGTTGCTTTTTTCCATTAGCTCCCAAATTATGATTAGTGTGAAGCTATAGCTAAGATTTTTATTTTTTTGTTTCTTATACATTTGGTTTTGATTCCTGATAGAGTAAAGTGAGTTAATTTTTCAAATGAAAAATATGATTCAATGTTTGATGATGTTTGTTTACTATCCTCTCTCTCTTTACTAAATAGTACTTTGGATAATTCTGTTTCTAGTGTTGAGATTTTTATTGGGTTTCTCTAACTTTACAGGGTGTTGGCTTTGTGACCCCAAGATCTCATGGAAGATCAGCAATATATAGGATGGCTCGAACACCTTATGCCAGAGTTTATCCAACATCTACGCTCAAGGTTTGCCATTTACTAAATGGTACTTTGGATAATTCTGTTTCTAGTGTTGAGATTTTTATTGGGTTTCTCTAACTTTTCAGGGTGTTGGCGTTGCTGTTGAAGGTGAGCCATCATCTTCAGCTCAGTATGCACTGGATCATGATATGCTTTCTGGCTCTAAACAAAGGGTATACATACTTGTGATTATAAGTCCTATCCTTTCAGTGTACATTCTAGAGTTCTTTTTCAGAGATATGTTCCTGGATTTCACCTTTTTTCCCTCCCCATTTTTAGCAGGCATTAAAACGTAGAAGTTCTCTATTAGATAATGATATAGGATCTTTTGGTCCTATACGCCGAATGCCTCACAAGTCTAATCTTCTATCTTCTAAAGGCTTAACCTTACCTCATTCAGGCGCCCCCTTATCTATAGCTAGGAACAGAGTTGGCATTGATGCTGCTCAGCAACCTTCATCTTCCATGCAGAAGCCTATTCTATTGGGTGAAGTTAAGCATAGCCATACGAAATTGTCAGCAAAAAATGTTGATGACACCATGCCTAGTACTGGCTTTCCTCCTATATCTTCAAAATCTAGCGAGATGGCCTCAAAAATACTCCAGCAACTTGATAATTTGGTTTCTCCTAAAGAAAAATCATTGGAACCAAGGCTACCAATTATGAATGATAAATCTCCGACAAAGTTGTCATCATCCATGTTACAAGGACAGGCTCTTCGAAGTATGGAGACAGTGGATTCATCAAAATTCCTGGATAACATACGAGATAATGAATTAGGCGGCACACTTGGAAATTTGTCAGCTAGTGCTCAAAAGTTAACATCAAAGATAGACAAGGTTGAAAATGGTCCATTGAAGCTTGCTGCTCCTACTGATACAGATGCTACAGTCCCAAGGAATCAAGTTGTGTCTATTGTAAAAGCTGGAGATTCTTCTGTGACAAATCCTGTTTCTTATCATCCACAAAAAAAGAGGGCATTCCATATGAGTGCACATGAGGTTTGATATTTTGCAACTGTTTGATGGTTTCCTGTAGTTATCTTGATTTTAAATATTAGAAATTCTTATGTGACTTTTATATATATATATATATATTAGTGGGAAGAGCTGGTACTATTAATCTTGTTGTTTATAGTGATTTGTTGCTTTTTTCCATTAGCTCCCAAATTATGATTAGTGAAGCTATAGCTAAGATTTTTATTTTTTTGTTTCTTATACATTTGGTTTTGATTCCTGATAGAGTAATGTGAGTTAATTTTTCAAATGAAAAATGATTCAATGTTAGATGATGTTTGTTTACTATCCTCTCTCTCTTTCTGCCTTAAAGGATTATCTGGAGCTGGATGATGATGCCTACCCTAATGGAGCCGTTTCTTATCATCCACAAAAAAAGAGGGCATTCCATTTGAGTGCACATGAGGTTTGATATTTTGCAACTGTTTGATGGTTTCCTGTAGTTATCTTGATTTAAATATTAGAAATTCTTATGTGACTTTTATATATATATATATATATATATATATATATATATATATTAGTGGGAAGAGCTGGTACTATTAATCTTGTTGTTTATAGTGATTTGTTGCTTTTTTCCATTAGCTCCCAAATTATGATTAGTGAAGCTATAGCTAAGATTTTTATTTTTTTGTTTCTTATACATTTGGTTTTGATTCCTGATAGAGTAAAGTGAGTTAATTTTTCAAATGAAAAATATGATTCAATGTTAGATGATGTTTGTTTACTATCCTCTCTCTCTTTTTCTGCCTTAAAGGATTATCTGGAGCTGGATGATGATGCCTACCCTAATGGAGCCGTTCCTTATCATCCACAAAAAAAGAGGGCATTCCATTTGAGTGCACATGAGGTTTGATATTTTGCAACTGTTTGATGGTTTCCTGTAGTTATCTTGATTTTAAATATTAGAAATTCTTATGTGACTTTTATATATATATATATATATATATATAGTGGGAAGAGCTGGTACTATTAATCTTGTTGTTTATAGTGATTTGTTGCTTTTTTCCATTAGCTCCCAAATTATGATTAGTGAAGCTATAGCTAAGATTTTTATTTTTTTGTTTCTTATACATTTGGTTTTGATTCCTGATAGAGTAAAGTGAGTTAATTTTTCAAATGAAAAATATGATTCAATGTTAGATGATGTTTGTTTACTATCCTCTCTCTCTTTTTCTGCCTTAAAGGATTATCTGGAGCTGGATGATGATGCCTACCCTAATGGAGCCGTTCCTTATCATCCACAAAAAAAGAGGGCATTCCATTTGAGTGCACATGAGGTTTGATATTTTGCAACTGTTTGATGGTTTCCTGTAGTTATCTTGATTTTAAATATTAGAAATTCTTATGTGACTTTTATATATATATATATATATATATATAGTGGGAAGAGCTGGTACTATTAATCTTGTTGTTTATAGTGATTTGTTGCTTTTTTCCATTAGCTCCCAAATTATGATTAGTGAAGCTATAGCTAAGATTTTTATTTTTTTGTTTCTTATACATTTGGTTTTGATTCCTGATAGAGTAAAGTGAGTTAATTTTTCAAATGAAAAATATGATTCAATGTTAGATGATGTTTGTTTACTATCCTCTCTCTCTTTTTCTGCCTTAAAGGATTATCTGGAGCTGGATGATGATGCCTACCCTAATGGAGCCGTTCCTTCTTTCTCTACTTGGAAAGAAACAACAGGCTCCACTCCTGTGGCCGAGAAAACTACCTCTGCTACTGAAACTGATGTACAGGAGATTCCCCCAGCTTCATCTGTAGTATTGCCATCCAAAAGTTTTACAACAGATGGTTCACCTCCTGTTAGGTCTGCTGATGGATCTACATTTGGTCAGAAGTTTGATATACCAACGTCCATAAGTTCGTCTATCCCTGATCCTACTTTTAAGCCAACAATGGGTGCAGTGTCAGTAGCTGCACACACAATTTTGGGTTCCGAGAAGTTTAATTCACAAAATGGATCAGTTGTTAATCCTCCCCTGTTGAACTTTGGGAATAAAGTTGTTCAGTCAACAGAGGTGACTGCTGCTGATGCTCCATCAAAGGAGTCTACTAAATCAGGTCCAATATTTGGTTTGGATAAAGTTGCATCGTCAAAGGAGCCAGGTGCTGATGCTCCGTTATTTAACTTTGGCATCAACGAAAATGTTGATTATGTTCCCCAATTTGCTTTCTCATCACCAGTTGGTGGTCTCAATTTTGGTGTTTTTTCTGACTCAAAGATGACGAGCTCAATCAAGTTAGTGTATGTAATTTTGGCTTGTTTTAAAAACACTCTCAAAATAACCCTTTACTCATCTACATTATTTTCTAGTTTATAGATTTGTGTCTGTTCTGTTGACTTCTTTTCAGTAAAGAAAAAAGAATGTCTCTAATGAGTTATGGGAGTATATTTTTCTTTCACAATAACTTTACTTTTCCCCATGTTTGCTATAATAAGTTTGTCTTAATTTAATACTTTTCATTCTTCCCTGCTACTGTTCCGGTGTCATTTGATTTGTAAAACACATTTTGCATTCACAGTTTCATGGTCGTTGACTCGCCAAATTTATCAAGTGGTGATTAGTTGTTATCTTGAGTTTTGGTTCTCATTTTTAAAGTGAATTTTGAACTTTTTGCAATTTGACTGTGATTTCTGTGATGTATCATAATAATACTGTTCTTATTGACACACTGTTCAGTTGGGTTTGTGAAGAGATATAAGGGATCTTACATTATGTTTAGTGAAGTGTTACAATGAACAAATATATTAAATGTTCCCTTCATTTGCAGCTCCACTACTGTTCCTGTTGCTGTTGATTCAATGCCAAAAGGCATCAACAAAAATGTTGATTATGTTCCCCAATTTGCTTTCTCATCACCAGTTGGTGGTCTCAATTTTGGTGTTTTTTCTGACTCAAAGATGACGAGCTCAATCAAGTTAGTGTATGTAATTTTGGCTTGTTTTAAAAACACTCTCAAAATAACCCTTTACTCATCTACATTATTTTCTAGTTTATAGATTTGTGTCTGTTCTGTTGACTTCTTTTCAGTAAAGAAAAAAGAATGTCTCTAATGAGTTATGGGAGTATATTTTTCTTTCACAATAACTTTACTTTTCCCCATGTTTGCTATAATAAGTTTGTCTTAATTTAATACTTTTCATTCTTCCCTGCTACTGTTCCGGTGTCATTTGATTTGTAAAACACATTTTGCATTCACAGTTTCATGGTCGTTGACTCGCCAAATTTATCAAGTGGTGATTAGTTGTTATCTTGAGTTTTGGTTCTCATTTTTAAAGTGAATTTTGAACTTTTTGCAATTTGACTGTGATTTCTGTGATGTATCATAATAATACTGTTCTTATTGACACACTGTTCAGTTGGGTTTGTGAAGAGATATAAGGGATCTTACATTATGTTTAGTGAAGTGTTACAATGAACAAATATATTAAATGTTCCCTTCATTTGCAGCTCCACTACTGTTCCTGTTGCTGTTGATTCAATGCAAAAAGTTCTTGAATTAATGCTGATGCTAAGACTAATATAGTTGCTGGATCTTCTCCTCCGTCATCAGAGCCAGCTGTTACATCTGCAGCATCGACATCATTGTTGACATCACCTGCTAATATATTTACTTTTTTTTTTTTTTTTTTTGTAAATAATATATTTACTTTTAGCAACAGATTAAATCAAGATAATGGACGTGTTGCTTCAAGCGCTACATTTGCCTCTACATTTCCATCTATTGGTACAAATTGTTTTAGTCAGAATTTATCCAGTAGCTCTCCCCTTAGTGTCCTGTATTGAGTAAAATAAGATATAAAAATAGTTTAAACAAGTATTCCGCAAGAGTTTACAGTTATGGTCACAACTTTTATTTATTACGTTTTTTACGGTTTTAAATGTTCGCGTAATAAAAGGAAAAAATTTACTCGCATTTATTTCGATCTTTTATACCATTTCATTGGACAAATCAAAATGACAAAACCATAACATCACATTCTATTAATGTATCAATATCTCAATTACATCCATGTTCTTCAAAATAAATACATGCCAAATGACTTAGCTATCAAAAGACATGATCAAAGCTATTAGCCGTATACAACAAGGTAATTACCACAACAATGGTCATGGATTAAGTCTTCCAAAATACATCACATGGCCTCCAAAATATACATGTACAAGGGGTGATATAAATGACAAGTACATCTAACAATCCTAGACAGCATGCAATCCAAAACAACAGGCTATCCTCATATAACCATCTAGCTCAAGTATGAGCACTTGCCACCAGAGGCTCCTGCAACATATGTACCTGAAAGGGGGTCTCTACAATATGGAGTGAGATATACGAATATACTTCAGTAAATCAGGGGTCCTTGGAGCATCTCTTCACCCCATAGTTCACTCACAGTATAATAGCAATAATAGTAAATAATGCAGTAAATACATATCCATGCAGTGTGTCAAACATCTCCAGGAGACATCTCTTGAGCTCTCATGTCATCCTAAGGATACTCAGATTCAAATAGTCCTATTGATTAGAGAATCTACCAAGTATGAATTACGCATCGTCATGCAACATACAAAGCATTGGGAAACACTATCCTATGTCACACCCAATGCATACACATACATATAACAAAGCATTAAATTACTTTATTGTAATTACATACACTATCAACAACCACTACCCATTCAGGGTTTGGTGGAACAATAAAGGGATCAATACCCAAGTTTTGAAGGCTTACCTTAATGTGCTTCTAAGCTTATCCTTTGTCCACCACCAATAAACAATCAACCAAGCTTCACAAATTAATACCAATTCAAGTGAGCTAATCAAGCTTCATAACTTCCTCCAATGGATGGTTACTCAAGGATGATCCACTTACCTCAATTCTAGCAACACAAGAGACATAATCAGTCATCCAATTCACTAATTGCTCAAAATGCTAGAACACTCATAAGCACAAGCATGAATTCTTGAAAATATAATGGTATGCCCAAATGACAATTTAAACTCATTTTTATCGATTATTTCTCATCCTTAACAACATTTACAAAGGATCTAAGCATACATCAAGCCCAATCTCGAGCCACATTATCATAATGGAACCCTAACATACCTAACATCCTAAAATGCAAAGAAAGTAGGATTTCTAAACACCAACTCGCCTAGAATCATGTAAGGAAGAGATTGCAAGCCTCCAAGTATATCAAATAACCTTCCAAGACTCTCAATCACAAGCGGGTCACCACTTTCCCCTCCATTTTTCTCTCTATACAAGGTTCTTTGGTAAATTATGGATTAGGGGTTGTGTTTGCCTCTCAATTCTAAGCAAGATTGGTCCAAGAACCAAGGGATTTAGTTTAGAAATGGAGAGGCTAGGTTTCTTGGTCCCTCTTCAATGGTCGCATAGTTGGGGATAAGAAGAAGAAGATGAAGAAGAAGCACGAAGAGAGTGAGGGAAAAGTGAGAAAAACTTAGTAAAATAGCTTAACTTTGGTTAGGTAACCTTTAATTGGGTAAAAAGTTATCGATTTAGTTACCTCAACTCTCTTTCAAACTTTACCTATTAGTTTGGGATATTTTTATCGTCATATTCCTCAATTTACTTTTACATTCCAGGTAATTTTTCCTACACACCCTAAAAGTTTCTCTAACTGCACCTTTTATTCAAAAAGTGACTTCATTCCTTTAATTAAGACTTTTGCTTAATTAAATCCCATAATGCATGATTAATTATTTAATCACATGCAATTTTCTAATTAATCAGGTTATGGCTATTATAACTTGCTTATTTGATTGTGTCAATAAACTCTACTTCATCTTGTAGCAGACCAAAAGCATAGCATGCATCATTGAATGAATCATGAGTGGAACTATTGAATGTTCTTATATATGTGAAGTCCATTTACCTATTCAAATGTTTTAGCGAAAGCCCAGTATTAAAATTTTCTCCATTTCCATGAGACAATCTTCCAATAGCAAATCCTTTCTCTCTTGGCATCCATTTCGAACATCATTATTTACTTACAAATTTTGTAGGAAATTCATTGTATGTAATATTGCTTGCATCTATGATTTCTTTTTTCATCCAACCTAAGAACATAATACTTTTAATTTCTGTCATATTTAGAACATGTTGAACAATTTCATTGTCTTTGTATATTGGGACAAGGTCCCTCTATTAGTGAGAAAACAAATAATTCTTCAAGTCGAGCACATTAGCTCCATACTTGGAGATCGACCTATTGACAGGTCAGCCCAAATACGCAATAACACGAAATACAAAAATAATGCATAAATAGAGATGAAGGAAAAGAAAAAACACAACAATTTTAACATGGAAAATCTCCTCAAATGCAGAGGAGTACAAATCACGAGACTTAGTCTCGCAAAATCTTCCACTATATAAATAGTAGGATTACAAGAGTTCTACCTTAGTGACTCACTAGAGGATTACACGAATTCTTCTTCACCCACACAACGATGTAATACAAGGTTCTTCTCTGAAGAGGTTACACGCTCAATCTTCCGTTATAGAGGAATTCTTTAACCAACTAAAATTTCTCTTTGTAATTTCATCTCATTTTATAATGGGCTAGGTCTTTCATCTTCTTTTGGAAACTTCATCATTTAATGAAGTGGTTGCAATTATTGGAATTTTTATTCAGGCATTGAGTCACGCATTATTAATAACTTGTATGCTCGGCTTCCACAACATTAAAGGAGGAACATATCACAACAAATCTCCCATTTCTGACTTTAATGCAATGGTTTATCAGCACGACACTCTTCAAATTTTCTTACCGGTACTGCCTTTGTCATCATATTAGACCAATTCAGGTCGATATGCACCTTTTCTAGTTGAATATGTTTTTTCTTTATCATATCTTGGATCTAGTGGTAATGAATATCAGTGTGTTTTTAGCGAGAGTGATAGGTAGATTCTTATTTTGAGCGAGATCTAGAGGTAACCTTGTCTATCAAGGAGGAAATACTCCATCCATATCATCTCCTAGCTTGCTTCAGGTGCGGTGATATATTGGGCCTCGATCATTGATAGTGTAACACAATTTGGAGTTTTGATTGCCATGACACGGCTCCCCTTGCAAAGGTAATCAAATATCATGTTGTTAATTTTCTAGAATCAATACCTACCCTAGATCACCATATGTATCGTCTTCCAACTTGCCTTTTCCTTCTCCAAAATAGAGAAGTAAATTTGTTGTACCTTGCAACGCCCCAATTTAGTAATCGGTTTGTTAACAAACATATAGTCTTAACAGTGCAGCATACCTGATTAAATTCGCGGAAGACTTACTTTTTCCTTTATGTTTACACAATGTAATTGTCATTCATAATTTGTTTTCTATCAAAGTTCTTATATCTGTACAGTCTCATACGTATATGATGTACTGTACAAATCCTGTGATCATAATTAATGATCATACCTTTACCCGAATACGATATCACGTACCGTTCTGGATAAAGTTTCTTGGACAGCATAACGGCTGTAAACTAGGCAACTATGGATTAAATCACACTATAATATCTTGTACTTGATAATAGATAAATTCAATCCACACACTGACCTATTTATAAAAATACCATACAATGGCTCCGCGCCATCACTGATAATATCGCACAACATAATATACATCATGTACATAATCTTGGTACCCTAATTCACAACATATAACTTCTGTCGTCCATATCAAAATACATATTCGTCTATATAGTAGTGCACGGTACTATATCATGCACACAAAATGCAGACATCCCAACATATAAATTCTTCCTTGATCCTGTATGCTCTAACCATGTGCGGGTCCGTTTCCCTGTGATGGTTCTCCTGCTACTGCTTTATGTGAAATATATATCCCCAAATGGGGTGAGAGACAACATCTCAGTAAACTCAGGGTTTATGGAGTAGTCTCCACCCATAAGTTCACTTCCTGCATGAAAGGTCAGATAACAAAATATAGAATACATCATTGGCTTCCAATATGAATAGTTATATGCTATAAGTTTGAACATGTCTCCATCATGAGAAACCCTTCCGTTCAACTTTACCACTTCATAAAACCCTTAATCTCGGGCTTTGATACTATTGTTGGGATGTGGTCCCTCTTTCACTACAAAGCAAATAGTTCTTCAAGTCGAGCACACCAGTTCGACACTTGGAGGTCGACCTATTTATAAGTCGGCTCAAATACGCAATAACACAAAAATACAAAGATGTAGAAATGGAGATGAAGGGAAAGAAAAAACACACAACAATTTTAACATGGAACCCTCAGGATTATTACGAATACTTCACCCATATAAGGATGGAATACAACGTTCTTTTATGAAGAGGTTACACACTTAAACTTCTATTATAGAGAGATTCTCTGACCAACTAAACTTTCTCTTTCTAATTTCATCACATTTTATAGGTGGGGTAGGCCTTTCACATTCTTTCAGAAACTTCATCATTTAATAAAGTAGTTGCATTTATCGAAGTGATTGATCAGCTTTTGAGTCATGCGCTATTAATGTCTTGCATGGTCAGTCTCCATATTATTAAAGGAGGAACACACCTCAACATTATATACAACTTACCGTTTATTTGACAAATGAAATGGTAATCTAATCACAGTAAGCTTCTTAAAGTGAACATCAAATCCAAAAGTTTCAATGTTGAATGCAAAGAAATATATATGCAAATTATAATAATTTTGAATTTCATCAATAATATGATTTAAAGGATTTGAAGCATGCTTACGAAATAAAGTAGTTATCACTTTATCATTTCCTTTATGCACATAATTAAACAGATATTTGATTCAACTTGTTTGGTATGTGTACTTTTACCTTGATAGGATTTCAGGAAAAGTTTTGCATTATAAGTGACCAAGAATGTGTTATCTAAATAGATTTTTTTTATAATTCTAATACAATAAAAATACAAAAAAATGTATCTTAAAAAAAAAATATGTTTCATGGAACCACAAAGGAAAAAAAATAATATGTTTCATTTTCGTTTTTAAAAATAGTTTTTTAATGTTTAGAATTAAAAAAAACTTGTTTGAAATGTATTGCTTTGCAAAATGATTTTCAACACAATAACTGTTTTTTAATTTTTGAAAATTAAAAGAAGAACAAGTTAGAGATGTTTCAAAAATGGTTTAATGTTTCTGTTTGTAATGCAAAAAAAATTTCTATGCCACACTCGCTTAAAAATGAATGATAATGCGACCCACTAACTTCGAGTGTGGCAAAGAAATTTTTATGCATAAAAGTAGAAATATTTTTCCCTTGAAAAATTATTTTTTAGTTTTATTGTTTTTGTAATTACAATTTATAATTATGATAATTCATTAATGGTACTTTGGTAAATGAATCCAACTTTTTTTCATATTTAAATTAATTTATGGTGATAGTCTTGTAATTATAAAAGTTTATTAATCACATTCTTGTAAATAAATATAATTTCTTTATAATTTTAAATAAAATACTTTTTTTCTACCTACCACTCTCTAACAGTATTAGATCAGAATCTCAAGAAAAGAGAGAAAGATAAATGTTAGTTGAGATTTTGATCTAATAGTATTTCAGAGTGATAGGTAAATGTAGACAGAAAAAATAAATAGATAGAATAACCTATCCCTTCAAACATACACTAAAGAAATTTTTTTTTCTCTCTTTTTGCATTTTTTTTTCTCTCACTCCCCGTCGCAAAACATACAAATATATTTCATTGGAGGATTTAAAATTTAGAGTATAAAATCGATACATTAGAACTTAGAAGCTCACCCTTGTCTGTCTTACTCAATGGAAAATGATATTGTAACAATTAATCAGTGTTACTATCAATTAATTTCATCGTTAGATCGATTATGTTGATTAACGGTTATTTTATTTTCATCTGTGTAGGGTTATGATTTCTATATTTAATATTTTATATTTATTTTTATCTTTGTATTATTATGATTTCTCATATTTAATGTTTTCACATTAAATATGAAAAATCATGACCATACAAAGATGGAAATAAATATAATCAATTAGATAATCAACATAATTGATATAACGGTGAAATTGATAGATAGTAACATTGGTAGTAATACTAATTAATTGTTACAATATATGTACCATTCATTTATTAGTAATTTCATTTTAATTTTAAATTTCAATTCAAAGTGATTGGAATGAGAAATTACATTCAGTACTGTTATTTTTATGTCTTTAAAAAAAAAAAAAAAAAAAAACTAGACTAAAAAGGAGAAAGGAGTGAGATTCTCTCTCACAGTCACACACCAGATATTCGTTCCCACAGATATTATTCTGAAATAAATATTTATTTATTTATTTCTCTCTCTCTCTCCGTAGAATTAAAACCCTAATTTTGCACGCTCTCAACTTTCTCCCTTGAAATTGAAAGCTCCTTCCCCGTTTTCTCTCTCTAAATCTCTCTCTCTCTCTCTCATGGCAACGGCGCGTGATGAGAACCCTTACGAAGGTGGAGGAGTGTTCGGCAAGTTCCGAAAAAGACCGTTTCAGAGAACGCAAACGACGCCGTACAAACGGCTGCTGACAGCGCTGAGAAACCCTAGCAGGAACAATGGTTGGTTCTCGAAGCTCGTTGATCCCGCACAGAGGCTCATCGCTTCTAGCGCCAACATGCTCTTCGCCTCCGTCTTCCGCAAGCGCCTTCCTCCATCACCACCACCACCACGTTCTTCAGGTATCTTTCCCCTTTTTTAGTTTAAATTAACTTATTAATTCATTTTAATTGAACGAAGCTTTTGTGATTTTTATTATTTTTTAATAACTTTTTTATGCGAATTGCTGGTTTTGTTTTTCAATATTTTTTCCTTTTTGGTTTCTGAGGAAATCTAATCTCTTTCGGTGTTATTGCTACTAAATAATGTCAAATACTTCAATTTTGAAAGCATTTAAGTTAGCAATTTTGTTGTTATTGTTATTGATTATCGTTTTACGTTTCAAAAGTAATTGATTTTTAGTTCCTATATTGTGGGATGTTATGTTTCTGAAAGCTTGAAAATTTTGTAATCTTCTGATAGTCACTACACTTAATAACAAGTCTTTGATTTTCTACCCAACATAGGACCCCAATAGTTAGGGCAGTGCTAAAACATATCATGAATGAATTATTACATTGAATTTGTATGTGTTGATTCGGTTAAAAGGATAGAACTCAGCAAGACTAAAATCACTCTCCGAACCGACAAGTGAGGGTTGAGATGAGGGCAATCCTTGTACGTAGCCTTATTATCTCATATTTGTAAAGAAACTGTTTCTTGGATTTGAACCCATGACGTTTCAGTCACAAAGAAGCAACTTTACCAATTCTACAGGCTTGCCTTCTTTTAGAACTCAGTGAGACTAACATTCAAAAATAGGGAGGTAAATGAATTGGATGTAGAGTCTTAGACTGGTTCCCATAGTTTGTGAACAATATCTTCAAGAACATGATAGACATGGTATAATTTGTACACAAATGATAGTGTAACTCAGTGATTAAGTTTTTGGCTTGCATATCTAATTTCTAAGCTGAGAGTAGGACATTGTAAATGAGAAATGGGGGCCAAAGGCTATGAAATTTTTCTGTGGGCTCACTGCTCTCCTAACTTTTCATAATGGTATATACTATGGGTAACTTTTTGTTGTAACTTTTCAGTGACTTTTGATTTATTTTTTCCTTTTCATTGTGTGCGACAATGTTAATGGTTGTCAAAAGCGGATGATTCACAACATCAGTTGTATGATTTGATTTGAGTCAATGGGTGAACGATTCAGATCAACGATTGAATTGCTGGCTGGCCTTAATTGCACCATGAATTTAGTATTGCATAATCTAGTGCAGAAAGAAATGTACGAAGATTGCGTTGCCACTGTAATTATTTGGGTAATGCGGGTCGCGATGTCCGGTTGTGTATGACCCAATGCGACCTGAAGGTCAAGGACACATGATTTTTTTTTTAAATAAAGGGTAAAGTAGAACAGTGTGTTTTGGCCTTGCTGTGTACTCAAATTACACTTGGATGGTACATTTCGTGATACCATTATCAACAGCACTATTTTTTAAGTGTGGGATTCTGAGACCCAAGAAAGCTTATTTTTTTATTCCTCTTTCTCTGAAATAAAGTCTTGACACTCCCAAAGACCATAGTATTTTTGGACTTGGTTACTTATGTGTTATTAGTTTTTTATTTATTATCTTACATCTGAATTGATGGCGACACTCAATTATGACTTTCTGACGTAAGACTTTGTTTTTTTATTCATACATTGAGCAGTGTACATAATATATTATTTATGTGATATATTTGGAGCTATTTTTTATTGTGTTTCTGAATCTTACGATTTGATATGATTTCTAATTCATGATTCAAAAGTAACTTGGCGATTCATGATTTGAATTGTGATTTGATAACCTTGGTGTGTCCTTTTATTATATTAAAGTAAATCACATGATTCAATGTTTTTCCGTTATGTATATTTATTTACCTTTTTTTTTTTGGGCACAGAAGCAGTGCAGGAAGCGAGGGACAATCACCAGGAAGCAGCTGTCTTTGTAAGTATGCATGCTTCACATATGTTGTTTGCTGTTTTCATAGGAATAATTTTTTGGGTGTGATTTTATTTTTCCATCATGCTATGAAAAATAATTTGGGTGTTCCTTTGTTTAATGACAATGTCTTAATATTATACCAAAGCTACTGCAATATATGTGTTCATGCTAAAGAAATTATATTAATTTTTATGCCTCTTATTTATTTTTTGTCTTCCAACCTATCTAGGTGTATATTGTATCTTCGATGTAGTTAAGGACACTTTAAGGGGCAACATATTCGTTTTGTAGTGTCATATTGCATTCGAAGATATGTTTAGTTAGCACAATTCGTGCTTTGATACCCTCCACAAGGGTTCTTTTGGGGCATTCAACTTAAAGGGGAAACATTCATTTGTAGTGTCATATTGCATTCCAAGATAGGTTTAGTTAGCACAATTCGTTCTTTAGGACCCTCCACAAGGGTTCTTTTGGGGCATTCAACTTTAAGGGGAAACATATTCATTTGTAGTGTCATATTGTTTCAACTCCATATGTTACTTCCAGCGTACGACAATTTTATTCATACCTATCTTTGATATATAAGTTTGATTATATTTTTTGGAGTGGTCATGTATAACCATATGCTGTCCATAGGTTTCTATTGATGATGTTGCTTCACCTGTCGAGCTTGCTAAGGCTTACATGGGGAGCAGGCCTTCCAAGGTATCCCAATCAATGCTGGGCTTGCGAAATCCTCCAAGAGAGGATCCAACTCTACTAAGAAATCAGCACTTTGCTCAGAAATCCCCAGTTATGTCAATTGTGCCAAGGGCAACTACCCTTGCTCGGGTTCATGAAAATGGCTTTGTGACCCCAAGATCTCATGGAAGATCAGCAATATATAGGATGGCTCGAACACCTTATGCCAGAGTTTATCCAACATCTACGCTCAAGGTTTGCCATTTACTAAATGGTACTTTGGATAATTCTGTTTCTAGTGTTGAGATTTTTATTGGGTTTCTCTAACTTTACAGGGTGTTGGCGTTGCTGTTGAAGGTGAGCCATCATCTTCAGCTCAGTATGCACTGGATCATGATATGCTTTCTGGCTCTAAACAAAGGGTATACATACTTGTGATTATAAGTCCTATCCTTTCAGTGTACATTCTAGAGTTCTTTTTCAGAGATATGTTCCTGGATTTCACCTTTTTTCCCTCCCCATTTTTAGCAGGCATTAAAACGTAGAAGTTCTGTATTAGATAATGATATACGATCTTTTGGTCCTATACGCCGAATGCGTCACAAGTGTAATCTTCTATCTAAAGGCTTAACCTTACCTCATTCAGGCGCCCCCTTATCTATAGCTAGGAACAGAGTTGGCATTGATGCTGCTCAGCAACCTTCATCTTCCATGCAGAAGCCTATTCTATTGGGTGAAGTTAAGCATAGCCATACGAAATTGTCAGCAGAAAATGTTGATGACACCATGCCTAGTACTAGCTTTCCTCCTTTATCTTCAAAATCTAGCGAGATGGCCTCAAAAATACTTGATGATGCCTACCCTGATGGAGCCGTTTCTTATCATCCACAAAAAAAGAGGGCATTCCATATGAGTGCACATGAGGTTTGATATTTTGCAACTGTTTGATGGTTTCCTGTATTTATCTTGATTTTAAATATTAGAAATTCTTATGTGACTTTTATATATATATATATATATATATATATATATATATTAGTGGGAAGAGCTGGTACTATTAATCTTGTTGTTTATAGTGATTTGTTGCTTTTTTCCATTAGCTCCCAAATTATGATTAGTGAAGCTATAGCTAAGATTTTTATTTTTTTGTTTCTTATACATTTGGTTTTGATTCCTGATAGAGTAAAGTGAGTTAATTTTTCAAATGAAAAATATGATTCAATGTTAGATGATGTTTGTTTACTATCCTCTCTCTCTTTTTCTGCCTTAAAGGATTATCTACTTATTTTCAAAGTGTTTGTTGGTAGCATATTTAAGTTAATAGTAGTAAAATGCATATTTGATGGGGCTTCTTGCAGTCCTTGTATGATAATTTTTCATGGTTAGAGCTGCACTTTTTTTTTTCTTTTGTAAGTGAAAGATTTTTTGGTCATTACTTATATAATCCATAAAGGGGGCGAACCGGAGCAGTGGTAAAGTTGTTCCTTCATGGCTGAAAGGTCATGGGTTCGAATCCAGGAAACAACCTCTTTGCAATTATGGAAGGGTAAGGCTGCGTACAAGGATTACCTCCACCCACATTTGCTAGTCGGGTTTAACGGGGAGTGGTTTTTTTTTTTTTTTTACTTATATAATCCATATGCAGATTTTTCTCTATTACGCCCCGCTTTTTTGTATTAATTTTAGTTTTTGTTGTTACTATCATCATTGTCATCTTGTTTTGGTGTTTGTAGTATGAGGAGGAACAGGTTGCAAATGAATCCTCTGGCAAGCAACAAGGAATAATAGTTGAAAGTGGTGTTCAAATTAACTGTTCAGATGGAGGTGGATTAACTGAACTGGAGAAACTAATTAAGCAGAAGACTTTCACCAGGTATGCTTTGTATGATGTGCATGTGGCATCACTATTTTTCACATTGGGTTGCTGACTCTGTAGTCCCTGCTTTTGAATATTGAATAATCTTATTTGCAGCAAATTCTTGAATGTAAATATGTAATTTCTACTTTGAGGAATGAAATTTTTTATGAAGATTTGTTTTTTGTTCGCTCTTATGTGTGTGTGTGTGTGTGTGTGTGTGTGTGTGTGTGTGTGTGTGTGTGTGTGTGTGTGTGTGTGTGTGTAGGGTTAAATGTTTCTCATGTTACAAGAGATAAAATTATTTTCTCTGACCCCAAAACAAAGTCATATTGGTGTTGGGGGGATTTTTTTTTTTTGTCAATTTGGTACATGTTGGGGCTGTATTAGTCATTATCATGACAATTTTTTCCCCAAACTCGAAATGACATGGTTTTAGGTATCTCATGTAAAAGGAGAAACACTTAATCCATATATACATGTTATATGTAACATGTATATATATGTATGTGATAATTTGTTGCATGTCACGTGACAAATTATAAAGGTTTGTTTAATTTTTATTACAAGGATTGTTGAACAATTATACAATTGTTTGGTTTTTAATTTAGCCCAATGTTGTCATTTGATCCATGTAGCTGAGCCCACCTGGTGGGATAATGCTTGATGGTTGTTGTTTTGTATTTTACACTTTCTGTGTAACTTATTGAAGCTTATGAAGTTCTTGTTGCAAAAATTACAATTTGCTTCTTCTAGGTATCCATATCAAGTTCATGTCATTCTATATTCTTAAACATTATTCACTCGATAAGCTTTTTGGACTTTGTTCATGGTAAGTGTCTATTTTTCCGCAGATCTGAGATTGATCATTTGACAACGCTTATCCGTTCAAGAACCGTGGATCCACCTGTTGGGGAAGACGGGAAGAGGACAGAAGTGGTTCCATCAGATCCAATGTTGCCTCGTGTTCAAATTGAAGAATATCCCAAAACTCCAGCACTAGAAAATGGGATTGAAAACCATCTTGTTTCAACTCCATATGTTACTTCCAGCGTACGACAATTTTATTCATACCTATCTTTGATATATAAGTTTGATTATATTTTTTGGAGTGGTCATGTATAACCATATGCTGTCCATAGGTTTCTATTATGATGTTGCTTCACCTGTCGAGCTTGCTAAGGCTTACATGGGGAGCAGGCCTTCCAAGGTATCCCAATCAATGCTGGGCTTGCGAAATCCTCCAAGAGAGGATCCAACTCTACTAAGAAATCAGCACTTTGCTCAGAAATCCCCAGTTATGTCAATTGTGCCAAGGGCAACTACCCTTGCTCGGGTTCGTGAAAATGGCTTTGTGACCCCAAGATCTCATGGAAGATCAGCAATATATAGAATGGCTCGAACACCTTATGCCAGAGTTTATCCAATATCTACGCTCAAGGTTTGCCATTTACTAAATGGTACTTTGGATAATTCTGTTTCTAGTGTTGAGATTTTTATTGGGTTTCTCTAACTTTACAGGTATGTATACCCTTTGTTTAGAGCCAGAAAGCATATCATGATCCAGTGCATACTGAGCTGAAGATGATGGATCATGATATGCTTTCTGGCTCTAAACAAAGGGTTTACATACTTGTGATTATAAGTCCTATCCTTTCAGTGTACATTCTAGAGTTCTTTTTCAGAGATATGTTCCTGGATTTCACCTTTTTTCCCTCCCCATTTTTAGCAGGCATTAAAACGTAGAAGTTCTGTATTAGATAATGATATACGATCTTTTGGTCCTATACGCCGAATGCGTCACAAGTGTAATCTTCTATCTTCTAAAGGCTTAACCTTACCTCATTCAGGCGCCCCCTTATCTATAGCTAGGAACAGAGTTGGCATTGATGCTGCTCAGCAACCTTCATCTTCCATGCAGAAGCCTATTCTGCTGGGTGAAGTTAAGCATAGGCATACGAAATTGTCAGCAGAAAATGTTGATGACACCATGCCTAGTACTAGCTTTCCTCCTTTATCTTCAAAATCTAGCGAGATGGCCTCAAAAATACTCCAGCAACTTGATACTTGGGAAGAAACAACAGGCTCCACTGCTGTGGCCGAGAAAACTACCTCTGCTACTGAAACTGATGTACAGGAGATTCCCCCAGCTTCATCTGTAGTATTGCCATCCAAAAGTTTTACAACAGATGGTTCACCTCCTGTTAGGTCTGCTGATGGATCTACATTTGGTCAGAAGGTTGATATACCAACGTCCATAAATTCGTCTATCCCTGATCCTACTTTTAAGCCAACAATGGGTGCAGTGTCAGTAGCTGCACACACAATTTTGGGTTCCGAGAAGTTTAATTCACAAAATGGATCAGTTGTTAATCCTCCCCTGTTGAACTTTGGGAATAAAGTTGTTCAGTCAACAGAGGTGACTGCTGCTGATGCTCCATCAGAGGAGTCTACTAAATCAGGTCCAATATTTGGTTTGGATAAAGTTGCATCGTCAAAGGAGCCAGGTGCTGATGCTCCGTTATTTAACTTTTGGCATCAACAAAAATGTTGATTATGTTCCCCAAGTCCCATTTGCTTTCTCATCATCAGTTGGTGGTGAATCTGGTGGTCTCAAATTTGGTGCTTCTTCTGACTCAAAGATGACGAGCTCAATCAAGTTAGTGTATGTAATTTTGGCTTGTTTTAAAAACACTCTCAAAATAACCCTTTACTCATCTACATTATTTTCTAGTTTATATAGATTTGTGTCTGTTCTGTTGACTTCTTTTCAGTAAAGAAAAAAGAATGTCTCTAATGAGTTATGGGAGTATATTTTTCTTTCACAATAACTTTACTTTTCCCCATGTTTGCTATAATAAGTTTGTCTTAATTTAATACTTTTCATTCTTCCCTGCTACTGTTCCGGTGTCATTTGATTTGTAAAACACATTTTGCATTCACAGTTTCATGGTCGTTGACTCGCCAAATTTATCAAGTGGTGATTAGTTGTTATCTTGAGTTTTGGTTCTCATTTTTAAAGTGAATTTTGAACTTTTTCGTGTTTACTTTTTGCAATTTGACTGTGATTTCTGTGATGTATCATAATAATACTGTTCTTATTGACACACTGTTCAGTTGGGTTTGTGAAGAGATATAAGGGATCTTACATTATGTTTAGTGAAGTGTTACAATGAACAAATATATTAAATGTTCCCTTCATTTGCAGCTCCACTACTGTTCCTGTTGCTGTTGATTCAATGCCAAAAGTTCTTGAATCAGATAATGCTGATGCTAAGACTAATATAGTTGCTGGATCTTCTCCTCCGTCATCAGAGCCAGCTGTTTCATCTGCAGCATCGACATCATTGTTGACATCACCTGCTAATATATTTACTTTTAGCAACAGATTAAATCAAGATAATGGACGTGTTGCTTCAAGCGCTACATTTGCGTCTACATTTCCATCTGTTGGTACAAATAGTTTTAGTCGGAATATATCCAGTAGCTCTCCCCTTAGTGTCCTGTATTGAGTAAGATAAGATATACAAATAGTTTAACAAGTATTCTGCAAGAGTTTACCGTTACGGTCACAGCTTTTATTTATTACGCATTTTACGGTTTTAATGCTCGCGTAATAAACGGAAAAAATTTACTCGCATTTTTATAAATGAATTGTTGTGATTGTAACTGCGCTTAATATCATAATGAATGTTAACAATACCGGTGTACAACGGGCTGTTACACCCACTGTGCGCGATTAAGCCCCTTGTGGCAGAGAATTTCTCCACGCACAGATTCACCAGGGCGCTTAAGCCCTCTCTTTTGGCGCTTAAGCCCTCTATGCGTGCATAAGCCTCCATTTTGGACGCTTAAGCCCCCTCAAATGGTTAAATCTTCAAAACTCTCGGTCTTAGGGCGCTTAAGCTTCCTCATAAGGGGCCTTAAGCGCCCTCTACCTGTGCAAAACATAAATTCTCCTGTTTTCATTTATTTCAATTGGGGAATTAACTCCCTATATCCTCTAACTTCTTGGTACCTAATTGACAATCTTACAACATCAATGCCTCAATAGTTACATCTTTTATACCATTTCATTGGACTAATCAAAATGACAAAACCATAACATGACATTCTATTAATGTATCAATATCTCAATTACATCCATGTTCTTCAAAATAAATACATGCCAAATGACTTAGCTATCAAAAGACATGATCAAAGCTATTAGCCATATACAACAAGGCAATTACCACATCAATGGTCATGGATTAAGTCCTCCAAAATACATCACATGGCCTCCAAAATATACATGTAAAAGGGGTGATATAAATGGCAAATACATCTAACAATCCTAGACAGCATGCAATCCAAAACAACAGGCTATCCCCATATAACCATCTAGCTCAAGTATGAGCACTTGCCACCAGAGGCTCCTGCAACATATGTACCTGAAAGGGGGTCCCTACAATATGGAGTGAGATATACGAATATACCTCA